GGTGAGTGGGTGAGGTAGGTGGGTGGTGGGTGCACACAGAGAGACAGGAGCAAACAATACCAAAACCATAGTGGTATTTCAAACACAGACATCCTCTTTCAAAGCATCCTAGCATTTCCTGATATCATGAAGCGGAGAGTTGATTATGCTGGCAATGTGTATTAAAACAGTTTCTAGGCGATCAAGACAAAATTTCCAACATCTTGAAAGTACTGACTAGCACTCAGGAATCTCTGTTTATAGACTTACGATACATCAAATACATGGAATCTTTTTCTAAAATGTGTATAACATGGATATTTTTCTGCAACACAAATGGCACAAACTTTAAGCAAGGCTGGTGCAAAAACCAACAAGATTCTTTTCCCTTTCTAGGCTGGAGCCAGAATGCAGCCATTACCAGTATCAAAGAGGCCCAAGACCAGATGTCTCTGCCACCTCCAGCAGGGGTGCAACCCAACACTCTATGACACCCTGAGATGGATACCCAGAAAAGTCCTTTCCAGATCCCAGCAGTACTTTGCACCAGGTTAATTAACTTCTTATCTCCCATGCTAATGAAAACCCATCTATATTAGTCTGTCAGATTGACTTGACGCTCGTTGAATCACTGCAGTCCAGAAATCTACAACAGCTGCACCCCGAAAATGGATCTCTTCCATTTGGGCCTCAGTTTTCTGACAGAGGCATTGTCTGCAGAGCCCCACGGAGGAGAGTGCATCGTGTATACTCCAGCATTGAAAGCAGCCTTAGGGACACAGAGGTCGGAACTACAGAATTCTCAGAACTTTAAAACATACAGGAAGCCTGCAGGAGAGAGGAGCGTGGGGCTTTGTGCGGGAGTGGAGTGGAGGAAATCTCTCTCACCGCGCTGCCTCAGTCCAAACTCTGCTGGCAGAACAGATGGCGCTCCCCAGGGGAGCCATCATTCACTCCCTTCCCAGCTCCATTTAGCTCCCTTCTCCTCCGATACACGGCAAACACGCCACTTTATTTACTTGACAGGGGAAGGCTTCTAATTATAAGACAGTAAGCAAAAAATAAAACTAATTTATCCACATCAGCGCAACAGGGTAAGTCCAGCCAAGCAGGCGACGGCAAAGATAAAAACAGACGGAGAAACCTCACACCTTCATTCGGCATACCACTGAAACACAAACACATGCCATCCTGCTCAACATGGACCACAGAAACACATATCCCCTTACAGTGACATCAGCCATCTACCTGTAGCTGAATCAGCTGGGCTACTTTATGTTACAGCCTGTTATTTTCTGGAGAACCCGCATCTCAATCTATTTGCCAGATAACTAAGACGCCATTGATTGCAATAAAAAATATTGGGCCCAAGATTTAGATTAGCTTTCAAAATTTTGCTGATGCATTTTAAAGGGGCATATCACTCACCTATCCAAGAAATTGGAAGATGCACCCCTGAATTAGGCTTGAGACAATGAGACAATTAGACAATGAGTCAAAGATTCTGCGCATCTTGGTGGGCATTACTCCAAATGATGAACTCAGGCCAGCACAGTCCCTTTCACATTTTCACATGAGCCTGACCTATGCCACACTACTGGCTGTCCAGGAGCAGCAGTAAAGGTTAGGACTGAAAGAGTGTTCTGTTGCTGGGAGGCTTGATTTTAGCTGCTAGGCCCTGTTTATGCAGTGTTGCTGAGGGATTAAGTATTGTACACCCAGTTACACATCCTCCCTCTCTGTGGGCAGGTACTACACTAGGCAGAGAGAGGATAAAGGATAGACAGAGGTCTGGCAGGCAGAAGAGGAGCCACTTCCTCCATCTGCGCACTTAATCACTGCCAATTAGCTCCCCTGGCCATCGTAACGTAATCCCCTCCATCAGCAGCACACTCCTCACAAAGACAAAGGGCTGCTCTCTGTACAGTAGTGCCCAGGCTGGCTGCAGGAGACTGGCATGCTAACAAGACTAAATCATCTCCACCAGCCTGTCAGCCACCCCACTGGCCGGCAAAGAAAGACCTGCAAAGAGAGGGCTGCTCTGGCTCAGAGTCAAGACAGTCCGTCCTTTGTCTCTCGCAAGCAGCCTAGTAGAACTAACTTTAGCAGCAGTAGAACTGAATATGTACGGTTAAACTTCATTCATGCTGATATCATCCTTCCCTCGTGGTCTGTGCGCATTCTTTCTGTAATACCTCTTCAATTGGGGTATCACTCTGATCACAGCACATGTCAGAGGCCATTCCGAGAGTTACATGTATGAAATGTTAGAAAATCTGTAAAGAAAATTTGTGATGCAATTCATTCCAAGACAAATACCAGACGGCACAGAGGCTGTACAAGTTAAGGCTTATTCCATGCTGAAAAGAAAAGAGAGACAACGTTTCAGCTGTGGAGCATTCTTCAGGTGTGAAGAAGGCTCCTTAAGAAAGCTCTAAAGTCAAAACGTTGTCTCTCTTTTTCTTTCTATATGGAATAAATCTTTACTTGTTCCTTTGCAGCCTACGCATGCTGACGCAGCTACCTAATTGAACTCCTTCAGTACAGAATTGTATGTGGGATGTGGTTTTGTGAAACAGCACTGCGCAAGAGGATGTACGAGCATGAAAAAATTCTGGAATGCAAGAAAATGAATCTCTAATTTTCTTAAGGGCCATTGTGGAATTCTTGCAAACCTGCAGTTCTGATTTGCTGCAGAAACAACCAGGAAATCTCCTGAACAGAGAGCTTTGACTGAAAGAGAGGACAGCAGATGTTCTCACGGGTACTCACTGTCTGGAAGGGTAGACTCTTCCACAACTTTGCTGAAGGGCCCATCCACCCCCTGGGCGTGAGACTGGACCGCCAACTCGTACCGCATGAAGGGCTTCAGCGTCCCCACCAGGATCTCCTGGGCATTGCTGTGCACACGGAACAATGAGGGCCACAAGTACTCTGGAACCCACTAGAGCCCATATATGATATCAAACAACGTCAATCTTTGTTTTTAACCACACACCAAACACATTCTTCCAGATGCTTGCCTTACGCCACAACTGAAAGATGACAAGAATGACAGGGATGCACGGTGTTCAAAAAGCACCAACCCCTAGTTGATCAGCACGGCTGTGGAGTGGGGGTATGTCCCTGCAGCTCTTGCTCACCTGGTATAGTAGGAGACAAGCGAGGCATTCTTGACGCCCGAGGGGCTGCAGCGCACGGTGTAGTTGATGATCCGGACGGTGCTGAAACGCGGCTTCTCCCACCGCAGCCAGATAGAGGTGGAGCTGTTTGCGGTCGCCTGGATACCAGTGGGGGGCAGGGGGGGCAGACTGCGTAAGGCCGGCTCTGAAAACACAGGGAACACAACCGCAGCTGAAGCACTAACCTGCACTGGCTGGTCTCTGAAGTTTTGGCGTCTTTAATGACTGAACGCTAGAAAACTATTGACCAACTACAGGTAGACGAGCAGATTGGAAGAGCAAAACAAAATGGATGAGCAACTGCAGATCAATTGACTGTATCCTTTCAGGAGCGTTCCAGATACTGGTAAACTCTACGACACGACACATACAGGCCGTACTGACAGAACGTCGTGGCTCAGTGCCCTGTTAAGTGACTTTTTACGTTGGTGTTTCCATTTTTTGGTCTGCTACCTGTAATGGAAAAAAAGTTTAATTCTTAAATTACAGTGGAGATTTTGACACTGCGTCAAGGGTGCTGTTGAGGCGCACACCGAACTGGCTAGGAAGTCTAGCCCTGACAGCTGTAAACACTCTCATGTCTGTGCTCAGCCAAGGTGAAAGGACGTTCTGCTGCCTGGCTCCATGCTGTCCACTGTCTTTGCTCACCCGTCATGACAGGACTCTCTGTCTACAACCTTACCTCCTACAGTGACCGGTGCTCTCTCAGTCCTGCCCTTCCACACAGCAGCATAGCCATCGGTGTGTTTGTTGAAGGCCCTCACCCTCACCTCATAGAGCTGGTCAGGGGCTAAGACAGACAAACAGGTGGGACTGAGCTTGAGGGCTGGTTTTTTCATTAGCCTCCTCACTCTACCTCTATTAATAAAGGAATGTGTCAAGGTGTGAAGTTAACATCTCAAATTTAAAAGCTATTACAATGTTTCCCCTAAAGGTGAGACAAAATTATATATTTGTCATAAATAAAAGAGCAGAGATCATGTCCAAAGAGATTAAATCTGCATTTACTGACACATCTCTAAACTGCAAGATTATAAAGGCTGCAGGAGCTTCCAGTGTACTCTGCTGAGCTTGTAAAGGAGGGTGTATGTCATTAAGTTACAGTAAAGGGGATTTTGCTCAACATATGCATATCAGAAATTGCATCATGGTCAATTGAGAACTGGCTTTCACGTAATTCTATAGAGGTCTCACAAAGAAAGACAATAATTACCCTGGACATTCTGTTGTACAGAGCACTCTGATTGTGCCTCTTCCAGAGAAAAATACTCTGTATTTTTTAATATAGAATTCCTCATCACATCCCACAACTATGAATATTAGGATGTTATTAAACATAAAGGGCCTTGGGAGTACTCCACCTGATACAAATTGCCTCTTCGTTTTGTGAATCCATCCCTTAATAATGATAATGAATGCAAATTGGTCTGATTTACGAAGATAAGCTGCAAGGGCTTTAGCCAGCCATCCCACAAACAGTGAACTAAAGGTAGGAGTCTGCATCACTAATTGAGAACGGGAGTTTCCAATTTTGGTGTTGAGTTGAGAAAATGTTCCCTGTGACAGATTTTTTCAAAGCCTTCTGGCTTTCCAATTAAAATTGATTTTTTATTCAGAAATGCAATATTTCAATTACTAACCTATTTCACGTTCTAGCTAAAAAACACCAATAATAAGCCCAGACTCTCAAACAGCCTCAGTATTGTGTGACTCATGTGTGTGTTTTTTTTTATTTGGGGGGGGGGGGTTCTGTTTAAAGTATTTGAACATTTTAGCATAGAGTCACAGTGTTGGTGTCTGCTAGGGAGTTCTCTCCAGGTAACAGCAGTGTTTACACGATGTGGAGGAAACTCCTACAATTGGGACTGAGTGTATGACCCAGTTTCCAGAGCTGTTTAAAGCTTACGTCGCTCTCTATCTGTTGGAACCCAGTAAGCAGCCTCTGTTTGCTCATGAGAGCCAGGAGCTTCCAAGCCCTGGTAACAAGCACCATGGCGGGCGTGATTGTGCCGAGTTTCTAATAAGAGCGCTATTTCACATCTCGGAGAGCGTGGCAGCCTGTCAGCCCTGACATGTGACTGGATGGGGAGCTATCTTGCCGTATCAGCAGACGAATCCTTGGTGCATCAATTTGTCAAACTGTAAAAATGACTACAGCTGCTCATCAGACAAGTGCTTGTCCCGGTTCTGAGCAGCACTCTGTTATCTAGCGCAGTGAGGCGGTGCTGCACTCCTGAGGGAGGCCAGAGAAGGATATGCTGCTCTGACAGCACAGCAGTCGCATCACAACAGAGTCTGACAGAGCACTGTACATCCCTACTCACGCCCAGCAAAGACATAGAGCTATTTGCTTGATTCATATGCATTTAATTAGAAAAATAGCATACACAAACTCAATCGCATACTTACATCCAGATACAGGCAAATAGACAATGACTGCAGACTCAACTATATGGGCAATCATGGTGGCTGACATTTACACAAAAATCTCAAAACACGTATTGACTGATCTAAGAGTGATCTCCTTGTTAAGCACTTGAGAGCAAAGATGATGACTTGGTAATCAGTATGAGTGAGTAAGCAATTCCCTAGCTATTTAAAATCCCCCCTTCAACCTAAGATATCAATTGTAGCCCTTGTCCACACAGAACATGGATTGGCTTCACTCACCCAGGCCTGTGATGTCATAATGCTTGGCCTTCTTCCGCAGGCGGATGGTGGTGCCCTCCAAGCCACCTCCTCTCGCACTTTCAGGATTCTCCTCATTGGCAGGGTCCTCAAGTTCTACCTCCTGGTAGTACAGCTTATACCCCGTGATCTGAGCGTGATTGGCTGGTGGTTGCCATGTGACATGGAGGGAGTCCATTTTGGCTCTGACCTTCAGCTCCGTTGGGGCAAAGAGCACTACAAAGGAGAAACTATCACAGTTAGCCTGGGTACCTAACTTTAGCCAGTTAACCTTCTGAGGCACTGAAATTGCTTCAGTACTCAATCTTAAAAACGTTAGTCACATGTGACATTTTAATTAGGCAAGGAAGTGTACAAGATTTTTCAGGGCTGTAGGCTCTGGCATCAGACATGAAGATGTAGTGGGTATTTTATGCTTGGTAACATATTTGCATAGATACACATAAGGAGATAAAATAATATTACACAACAGAATACAATTTACAGAACACAGAAAAAATCTGCTTGTAGCATTTTGACCCAGGAATGCATCAAAAAGCAATTCAACAGAAAACACGTTTCAATCCATTTAATGTATTCTAGAGATTATCATATAAATTGTTTCTTTTTTTAAACAAAGTTGCATAATCGCTGCTTGCTAAAAGCAGACTGTTGCGAGTTCTCGCCGAATTCCTGCGAAGGCTACGCGCAGCGTGTAGCCCACTCTCTCACCCATGGTGTGGTTATAGCGCTCTGGGGTGCGGTGCAGAGTCCACTCGGAAGGAGCCCCGAATCCTGCACGTGTCCCTGCCGCGATCCTGACACGGTAGAGCTTGTTGGGGTGCAGACCATGCAGCGTCACCTGCGTCTCATTGCCTGCCACCTCCAGAGAGTACACCTGATCTGCTCAGGCACACACATATCCCACAGAGTTAACAGCCCGTCATTTGAGAAACAATATTCTCCATTAACTAGACATGCAGGACAGGCACCATGTAAAACCACCTATCTGATGATGATGATAATGATAGTTGTAATAATAAATAATTCATCATAATAATTTTTATATAGCAATTTAAAAGAGGCTTCCCAAAGCACTTTACGATAAGAAAGAATTATAACCACGTGGAAGTTGTTAAAGTGTACTCGTATTCACCTTTAAATCATTTATAGCAAGATGGCTGTCTCCGGAGGCAACCTAACAGATCGATACCCTAATCCTGATGTAGGGACATAAATGATGCCGAGCTATTGCAACAAATCAGGTGTTGTTATCATCATTATATTTAACGTGTGATACAAGCTGGGAAACAGGGACATGCATCATGACCGAGGCATCATAAGAACTAACACTCGCCTTCCTCCAGCGCGCAGTAGTCGATACGGTACTGGGTCACAGAGCCGCGGCTCAGCTCCACTGACAGGGGCTGCCACATCACGCGGATGTCGGTGGGGGAGGTGCTGAGCAGGGAGAGCTGTGGGGAGGCGCTGGGCACTGCGAGGGGGAACACACACATACAGTATCAGGTCAGGGATGGACACGGAGAGCGCAGCCATTTTGCACTGCTGCTGCAGAATCCAGAGTTACCAGATCGACTGAATGCCATGACCATGACTTGCTTCTCTGGCCAAGTTATAAACGCATGGTCCCTCAGGAGTCTGCCGTGTGCACAGGAGAGATAAGACTAAAGCTCTAGGCTAAGAGAGAGATACACCGACCCCCCAGCCACACACATCTATATTTCAATCTGACTCTCCCCCTAAACATAAAAACACACATTCTAAAAGTCGGACATTGTCAATACATCTCCAAACACTGCGGGTTATTAAAGAACTGTGGCTATCTAAATCATCTTCCCAGTTCTGCTAATTTCATTCTGATTATAACAATAATGAATAATGAATGAATCATAGGACATCTCATAACAGGGATTGAAACCCATACCTGAAACTCTCTTCTAAGAGAGACTAAATAAAGAAATGTATTCAGATGTTTTTATTTGAAATTCCTTTCTCATCGCTTAGACCAGTATGTTATTTTCTCAGCTGCCCTGCCTAAGTGCTGTCCATGTCCAGTTTCTGAAAGCCTCAGGGTGTTCCATCACTCACCATCCTCCAGCGTGTGTACAGTGACCGATGTGGAGGTCCTGCTGGCACCCATGGGTGAGTAGGCCACCACATAGAAAGTGTAAGCAGTGTTGGGCTGCAGGTCTTTTACATGGAAGTCTGTAGTGTCGTTGTTCACAGCAAATTGGTACTCCATATTATCTGATCCTGGGGGAAGAGCAACATCTCTACATTGCATTCATAACATTCACAACAGACAGCATATTCCTGCATACATAGCAGCAATGTACCACCATAGCCGTATTACCATTTGTCTTACACAGGGCCCCAGCCTTGTCGTGGAGCTGACAGAAGGGAGTGTCCTTAACCAGTCCCTACAGAGAAATTATGTGTTTTGTTGCAAATCAGTACTTAATTACTTAATTGTCCTAATTATTCACTTCATTGGTCAGAACGAACATCCAGGTGTTTAGCACTTGATTTTGTGCAGCCGTGCCCAAAATCTGTTCCTTTAGGGCTGAATCACTTTAATCCATCCACTACAGACATGGGAAGATGGTAATACAGACCAATTAGCAAGTAATTAGTTAAAAAAAGCAGTAAACAACTTAGGTTTTACAGACCTCCAGGAACGAGTCCAATGCATCCCTAATTTACAATGGCCTGTAAAGAAGGGGTATCATACTTGGTTCTCAAAACCCTCAGGGTCCCCTGGCATTCATTCCCATCCAAGCTCTCAATTGACCAAGAAAAAGACTGGCTAATCTGGACACATTTCACTTTTCTAGCATTTTACAGCTCCTGAAGTATAACACCATTCACCACACAGGAACTACAAACCCTTCGGGGTCCTGCTGAGAAGTGTTTAATCACATAAGTAAAATAATGTAGCCGAGGGCTGGAGTGGAACACATGCCAAAAAACAGGACAGACCAATGGGCACCAAGACTGATTCCCAGCAGGAAAATGTATATGAGCCTGGCCCAGGACAACAGGCTTTGGACTTTCCAGTCCAAGGATGGAAAAGACACTCTTCCATGGCACAAGCATCTAATCCATTTGAGGATTTTTCTACAAATACCCCATGGAAGCAGAGCATATTTATTCATCAGTGATATACACATGTTAATAAGCAAGTAATTGCAAGCTTTCAAGTAAAGCTTGAAATATCCAGAAACAGGATATTTGTTTCCCTGAATACCAAACACTGATGTATCTCAGTAGGAGCAAATGTGGTATCAGTGCATGCAGTAATTTTCTATTGCACTGGACTTGTTTTTAAAATGAACAAGTAAAGGTTTCTTCCATGCTAAAAAGAGAAGAAAAGAAGCACACTGTTTTTAAAATGTACTGATCTTAGTGAAGGAAGTCTGCCTTGACATATACAATATAAAATAAAGTTTAACTGATGGCTGACTGATAGCATCATACCGACGGCTTTTTGGTAGTGCACTGAGAAGCCGATGATCTGGTCATTGTTGTGCTCCGGCCGCTCCCAGGACAGCAGCATGGTGGAGCTGGAGGTGGGCTGTGCGGAGACAATGTGGGGTGCGCTGGGCAGCCCCTCGCGCACAATCACCGACAGTTTGGCCGTGGCACAGGCCGTGCCGAGGCTGTTCTCTGCAATGCACTGATAGTACCCGGCGTCATCCAGGCCAATCTGATTGATGAGCAGGATCCCCGGGCTCTGGGTCTTCACTCGTCCATTGGACTGGATGGGTTCCCCGTTCTTCAACCAGCGCAGGGTGGGAGGGGGCTCCCCGGAGCTGTTGCACACAAACCGCGCTGTGTTCCCACGGGACAGCGAGACTGTCTCCGGGGTTTGGAAGATCGTGGGTGGAGCTGGAGGGCAATACAGATTGAGTAACAGACAGGGCAGCATTAGGTTAGGGCCGTTATTAGACAGCATTTCACACTAAGCTTGCAGCACATATATCTAAAAGGAAAAAACCAAGAAAGGCAAACACAGTGCAAAATAGGATTTCAATGCATTTACTATTACTTAGGAAAATCACCAGAGACACATATCGAAAAGCATATCATTTGTAGTTGAACCCTGTTCTGGTGATCACTTTCAAGGTTGGATGAGCTATGCACGGGATGGTTAAGCACAGAGTGGCATGATATGGTACAATAGAGGCACAGCTTACCCAGTATGCATGCTGCACCACTGGCACATAAAACATCAAAAACAAAATGCAAGCTTAGGTGTAGGAAAGCGTAGCATGATAAGGGGCCAGGAGAGCAACACTCACCTAGTACTCGGAGCTCAGCAGCCGCTGTGACGAACTCTCGGGTCTTCGGCTTGTTGGCGCGACAGACATACACCCCCGCGTGGTGCGGCTGTGTGTCCGCAATCATTAGGTTGGTGGACAGTACCACTACATCAGTGGCGACCGGCTTCCCGTCTGCGGATTGAAGAACGCATTTAGCCCTCAGTACTGAGGGGCACAGCTGCATCTAACAGCCTGGCGCGGGCTGACTAACTGCAAGGTTAGCTGCAGAGGGTCAGATGGAATACCTGTATCTGACCACCTGTACACCAAGACAGTCCGTGACATCATGTTCACGCTTCCTCCTGTGTGGTACAGACATGTCATTTGGGTTTGACCCACAGCTCAGCTGAGCTGATCCGGCGACCGGGAAATGCCTTACGAAACACCCTCTTCATGCCAAGATTAGAGTCAGGTGGTAAGTAAAGGATAAGTGCCCCCATGAAACTGTCCCACCACAGCAGTTGTGAGTGGGATTAGTTTTAAGAGGTACAGGTCTTTCTGGAAGAATTCTCTATTGGCATTTACTGTATGACAGGTATGTATCCAGGAACTTCTAGTATAATATAGAACTATTGTAGCAACAAGATACTGAAAGTGAATGTGTGCTCGTAAACCATTTCTGCCTAGTAAGATCTGCTTCGGCAGCTGCCTAGCGCATGGTCCAAGCCAATGGTACCCCTTTGCCCTGTCAAGTGAGAGTACACCTAGGGGAATGTCTGTTCCAGCGTTGGATCTCCATAAGTAAAGCTACCCAGAAGCAGAATTTGATATTAAGAGGCTGTGTCAGCAGCAATTGCATTCTGCCAGAAGTGAACCAGTACATAATAAATGTTACAGCACTTAAAATCTTAATACATTTAATGTGACATTACTAACCTAATAGGTTAGTTAACAGCACTGGTGCCACTGGAGGCTATGTGTATTCCAAGATTGGGACTGACAGAGCCAAGAGCTGATTCAGTCTGAAGGAGGACTGCAGGGGAATCCCACTGGCCAGCTTAAGGGGAAAAGAATGACAGTACGAGCTCTCAGCAAATCTAGGCTTGGCATCAGAGGCCACAGCCTCACCCTCTGGCACAGGCAAAGACACAAAGCAAAATCCACCCACAGCCACATCTGGGTACCACGTGCCATCACACATCACGGGGGTGTCTAAAGTGAAGCTAAGTCACTGAGTACCTGCTAGTACAGCTGTGTGCCACCCAGCAGTGGAAGGAGCCATGTGGGACTGAATGCTGCAAGAGGAGAGAGCTCTAGACATTGAGTTTTAAAACCCTAGTACTACTTAGAACCCTGGCCAGTGCTTGTTGCTTTCTGTGACATTACAGCTTAGAGGGTTCACCCATTCACCCTCACGTCCTGCCATGCAGAGAGCATGTGCTTGCCTCTTTCTTACCCTGCCGTATCCAGGAGACGTAGGGTGTGGGGTGAGCCTGGGCCATGCACTCCATGACGGTCATCTTGCCTACCACCACGGTGGTGTTCCTCGGAGGTGCCACAATCACCACCTCCTCCAGGCCAGCAGGGGGACCTGTGGGGACAGGTGGGGGGGTGGGGGGTGACAGGTGATGGGTCTGTCAAAAACAGCAGCAAGAAATTATTCTTCATTCCTGAAGTATACTCATATGTACTGCAGATGTACTGTATGTCCTCTAAATCATGTTCTTTCGTGTATTCCCGTGGTGCTGCATTAGACTTTTGAGCTGTTTACTTAAGCATATGTGTTAAAAGTGTATTATGAAATGGAAAAGCATATGGTATTGCCTGTTTTTCATGGTTTCAAAGAAAAAGGTGAATCAAGGGTCACTTAATGACCACTAGAGAGCAACAGGGAGCAGTTCTGTAGAGTTCAGTTTCACACCCCCCCACACACACTGGAACTGTGGAGGAACTGCAGGAGAAAAACTGGACATTATGCACCTGGGTAGAGCAACATTCTTACTGTGCAAAATCAATGACTCTAACAGTCTGTGCTGCATTCTCCTTTCATGGATTTTATTTGTTGAAATGATATAGCTCAATCCTAAATGCACCACTTTATCCAGGTCTAACAGCTTGGAAAATTCCAAGGATATACAATAAAAAAACAGTACAGTTTCTCATTTCGTACACAAAGACACACCACACTTAAAAAACTCAGCAATCCATATCTCCAAAGGGCGCTCAAAGATCCCGTTAAAAGCTTGTTGCCAAGCTGCATGCGTGTGATTTAGAACATGGCCACAGCAAGACAAGGTTTTTCCTCAGCTTTCAGTAAGGAACCACAGTTTCTGTTCTCCAACATCAGCCACCAGTGACTAAGAGAGGGAGGGAGATGGACAGAGCCAGAGAGGAGAGTCTTCCCCAACACGCTGTGCTCTCACACAAAACACAAAAGCAACTTTGCTGCTAAATACTTTGCTCAGCTGAAATTCTCTTGGTTTTGCCTAATCGTGTAAAAAGTTTCCTATTGATCCACTATAAGAGTAAGTAAGGTGTTCCCTGACAGAAAGCAGGAGACTTGGCACAGAAGCACAGACAGTATGAAACAAGAACACGATCATCTCAACATTTAAGAAGAAAAACACTTTCAATACTGGAAAGGAACATGAATAATTTCTTAACTTATAATATGCTTAATATAAATCAAAACTTGTTTTTTTTATCAGCCTAAATGAATCCCACCAGTGCTGTTTAAAAATTATATTAAAAAACGATGAGCACACTGCTGGGAAATAAGCACATAAATGAATAATTAAGATTACAATGCCTCTCAATTATAGATGCACCCAGGGCTACAGCTTAAATGGGTCAGACTCCTCTGTGACGTCAGCAGCCTGCCTGTGGTACAGCAGCCTGCCTGTGTGTGACCTTGTGCTCTGTTCTAACAGCTGCCACTCAGTGAGGCTACATCTGCAGGGCTTTGTGGCTGAGCTGCAACTCCAGACACTGAACAAACAGACAGATAACAAATGCTGTCCATCGCTCTGCGGCAGGGCTGTCCAATCACAGCCCAGGAACGCTTGCCCACCCCATGTCTAAAACCTCTGCAACAGGGGCTGGCTGAAGGCTTCATGGGAAGAGCTGGAAAAGAGGGCAGGACCAGAAGGCACAGCTGTGTCCTGCCTTCCATTAGAGGATCAATGCTTGTGACAAAAATTCTGAAGATCTGGGATACAATCTGATTACTTTCTTGCAAAGATAAGTTTGCAATAAGTTTGCAAAAACTAAGTTAAAAAAGTGCATATTTTCTCTTCTCCCACACTCACACCATCTCTTGCAAGAGGCGCAACTTTTTAACTTCTCTAAAAAAAAGTAAGAACAATTCAGGTTTAAAGTTTACTCGCTTTTATCATTTGGCTTTCTTTATTAAGGTAATTTGATTTTTGAAGCCAAAAATGTTTCTGCAAAGAGTTTAAGGAATTAAGACACTGCTTCCGTAACAAACTAAGTTACAAGTATAAGGCATTCTAGGATCTAGTACCTGCTGTCAAAGGAGAATTTAAGCAACTGTAAAACTCAAACCTTACCTGTCACCTGATAGCCTTACTGACTGAGTGTCAGTTATGGAGGGACTGATTTCTATCATTTGTGTGGTTAACTGAACCTTCTCAAAACTAACAAATTCATTCCAGGTTGATAGAAAAAAGGAAGAAGGGGCTGTACAGATTGTGAAAGAAGGAGACTGAGAGGGGCTGCAATTTATACAGAGTGAAGAGTGTGACGTGGGTACAGATTGATAGTGTTAAAAGGATGAAATATTTGTGTATTGATTTTCTGTATAAACACCCACTAGTTAAGACCTTCAGCTGGAACAATGCCTCCCCTTGTTCTCCTGCAGCATTCTGGAATGTTAAATTAGCTCCTGTGAGTAAAATTAATGGAAAAAGACATATTTACAAGGTAGACCCAGTGAGAGAGAAAATGAACAAAAAAAAAATCAATGTCTTTTTTAAAAAACAATTTTGTCCATTAAACAAATGTTTTTTTAAAAGGGTATTTGATTTTTAACATGTAATTGTATTTGATTTCTTTTCTCCAGGAGAAAAAGCTGTTGACTGCGTTCAGAAACATTGTACTTCAGCCCAGCAACTGAGTCTTCTTTCTAGCCAATTCCAGATGTGCACCATAGGTGACCTCCTGAATGTTTACTTCAGGAGTCTATATCTGCATTACTGTGATTTTTCATCCCCTGTACTTGTGTGCTATCAGCAGATTTACACACCTCAGTCCTCTAGACCATTCATTCCATGAAAAAATAACATGATCAAAAAACAAACCAAGGAGCATGAAGGTTACAAACAACAGGAGGCAATTTGACTTGTCTGGGTGGATTGGTTGCCCAGTAGCTTATTGATCCAAAAATCTAATCAGGTCTTTCTTGAAGGGTCCCAGGGAGCCAGCTTCACAAACACAGCTAGGGTTCTTTAGCACAGACCCTGAGTTAATACCCAATACTGCTAAAGCAGATATCTTCCAAGAACATTGTAAACTGATCTGATACAATATTTTTAGAGACTTAACAGATTTTTAAAAAATACATTTATCAGAGAACAATCTTTGATAGTCATGAGATAATAAAAATAAATCAGAGCCACAGAACGTCAAAAACGTAGTACTTATATTGTGTTGTAATCAGTGCTAACTCCCCCACCTCCTCAATACAGTGGATACCAAACACTAGGGATGAGGAAAACAGTCCCTTTGAATTTGTCATAAACATCAGCCATATCTGTGGGCCCGGTCCTGAACTGGTCTTGTCACGATTCAGTCTCTATTCCAAGAAGGCCAGAGGAAAGGAAAGAGGCCAGACTGGAGCATGCATCACACAGAAGCAGTTATTTCACATCTCCTCCACCTACGTTTCTTTTCATAAGTGATCTTTATTAGGGGATCAAAGGATTTTGAGTACAAATGCCAAGCTTCTACTTTAAGGACATGAAATGGCACTATAAAACCTGAAACTAATGAATTAGAATACCCTGCCAAGAGCTCTCATTTAGTGTTTTGCCTGCAACTGAAATGGCACCACGTGCACAGAACTCTACTACACCCCCTACAAGCCCCTGTGTGCTGAAAGTGATGCCCCTCGGATAATGTGAAATGCCAGGTTGGGATCATTTATTACCATTATAAACCATGGAAACCCAATACAGCTCTAGGCACAACTGAGAAATCCTTAATCTGATCTCACTCAAGAAGCAAATTAAATCAGGCTGCCTGTTGGACACCATTACTGCCCTATAATGAATACACCCTCTTCTGAGGATCTGGCTTTCCTGCCTATTACTGTATCTGCACCCAGGGAAGGTACCCATTAAATCTGAATTCCCACACACTTCATTTGCAGAGATTGGGAGGTGACGGGTAATGCAGAAACAGGACTAAAGAGAGGAATGGATTGATCTCTTCCTTAATTCAAGTTATCGATCTACAGAGTGATCCTCAACACAGGAGCCAGCATCTTGGGAATCTTTTAACAGATAACCGATGGATGACGATTCCCGTCTAAATATTATATCCGACAGAAAAATGTCTCACACTAAAAGAAGTGCATCACTCTACCTATGGGTGTTGAATCGTGGTAAGCAAACAAACTGCCATTTTCTTCTTTATAAGTTATATTTATAATTACAATTACTGGAGCATGGCTGCAACTACAGTTGTAAATGAACAGACTGTCTATGTAACTCTAATTCTAATTCGAACTAACTGTGCAGCTGTATTGCATTTTAATGTTTAGTTGAAAGTTGTGGGGTTAAATCCCAAGTGGGATACTGCTTTGGTACCCTTGAGCAAGGTACTTCACCCTGGTTACTCCAGAGAAATGCCCAGCTGCATAAACACAAGTAGAACTGCTGAGACACCTTCTGGTTCTGGGTGCGAGGCTCAGTCATTCAGACATGCCTACCTGGAACGATGGTAAGAGTGGCATCCTGGCTGTAGCGTTTCCTGGCCGAGTTTGTTGCCACACAGCGATAGACCCCTGCGTCCTCCTCCTGGACACCAACGACCTGCAACACGCCGTTCGGGAGAGAGATGAACCTGTGAGGCGACAGGGAACACAGATAAACATGCAGCCCTGGCCAGCCTCTCCACTGCACACAGCAGGGACCGGGTGCAAAGCATAGCTGGGCTAATGTATTTCAGCCACAGTCCTTCTGCTGGTAGGAACACTCAGATCAAGGAACTTCATGCCAATGCTTTAGTTTACATAGCAGAATAAATAGGTACCATGCTGCCTTGCAGAGTGCAACCCTGTGATGGAGTTGAGCCTCATCCAGGGGTGCAGGCATGTGCTCTCAGTCCGCTTAGTGCTACAGCATCAGGAGAACTCCGGCCTGATCAGTCACGAAGCTCAAGACATTTACTTTTTACTGTTCTACCAAAAGAAAACATAACTAACATAACTAGTCTGTCCACATGCCAGTCTCAAATCAGCATACGTTCGACAGTTTCTCTTCAGATCACTGATTATCACCTCCACCAACTGTTTTAAATGAACAGCAGTGACTTGGAAATGCAAATGCATAATTTTCATTTTCAGGCAGGCCTGGAAACTACTTTCACCTCCAGCTTTTTGATAAGTGTGCAAAACATCTCTAATTGCTGGGGTGGAAGCTCCCATGAGAAGGAAAAAATCAGCCACAATCACCTCTCCAAGCTTTCTGTTGTTGTTCTCATCAGCCTCCCACCTCCACTTCATCAGCACGCCGGCTGGAGCAGAAATTCAGTCCGTTATCCAGGTCTAAATATAAAGCACTCTGCTCCCACCAGCCCTGACACTCTGAAACAGTGCTACACCTTCAAGATCAATGAATTCAGGTAGTATATGTTATGACAAAAGACATTTATTCCATACAGTTAGTCTGGGTAGGTTTCAGAAAACACCAACTGCATGAACTTCTACATTTCTGAAGCACATGTTCCTATACGTCTTTAAAATTGTCTGACAATGATCCTACGTCACTAGCTCAGACAAGCTCATGAAGAATGACTTTTGACTTGACTTTCGCAAGAAGCTCTGTTCCAACCACAGCATGGATCCCATTGGTCTTTTTTACCCCTGCAGAGAGACCTTTTCTTTCCAGCTTTGTCTGTACACAAGGGGGATGTGCACTCCAGCACTCTGCCCCTGCTACATGCGCATAGCTCCAACTCCCCAGCCCTTCACACCATGGAGAGGCTGGAGTCCTCTACAAATGGCTTTGCAGATGAAGGCTGATAGTGCAAATAGAGCACACTTTACTTTCATCTAAAATCATTAAACTTTCTTTCGTTGAGCTCAGAGGTGACGTTATTGTTCTGTTGATACCCATCTCCTCAGCTTATCACTGCAGCCCTCAGAGCAGCATGTCCACCTTCCTCCAGCCTGCATGTTGTGGTATACACAAGTACCCACTGCAGCTACACAAGTACCCATAAAGTCTCAGGCTCCAGCTGCACAGGGAGACCCAACCCCAGTAGTGCTCTGACAGTTTGCACTCTTGTTAATGGAATGCGAGTCACAGCTGGCTAATGAGATAGCCTAGACCAGACCTAATGTCCAGAATACAGGATTCATTCTCAGTGTAACACTCCATAAACAACTCTGTAAAGTTGCCGTGAAACCGTGGTTCCTTCTGCACAAATCAAATTATCCCTGCCTGGCTTGTTTCCAGGTGTGACACTTGCCCTAGTTTATTTCCTGACCCCTGCCCGCAGGAGAGCCTGCCCATTCCTCCCACTGACATTCGTGCGCGGCTTCGGGGACACAGAGGGAACAAACAAACACCACATTCCTCTCAATCTGGGTCGCGTGGAACCAGGCATTACACGGTTGCACAACAGCAGCAGCAGCAGGTCAGAGCGTCATCAATTCATTTAGCGAGAGTCGTCAATATTTATCAGTTCTGTTTCCCCACAAGCACAGAGATGCGTAAGAGATCAGGTTCCCTTTGTACTGAGAATTCCACTGTTTTGCACCATCCGTATATTCTTGCTTGTAACCAGAAGTACACAATAAAATCTTGTAGTGAATGCTGACCCATTATTATTTGTAATGACCCATTACAAATAATAGCCCAGAACCGGCATATCGCCGGATCACACGTGCATTAAGATGGTCTGGCACTGTTGGCTTGCAGAACCCCTCTGGAGTCCTTTGATGTTGTTCCCTTTTGTTCTTGTTCAGTCCCAAAAATAACAGTTCATTATAGAGCTATTAGTAAGCGAAAGAGCGTTCAGTTCTCTTCAGTCCTTCAGTACTCCACTAAAAGAGCTCGAACAGTCCAATTTCCTCCATTTCTCTTCCTCGCAAAATATCTTCATTTTCATTCACTGGAACGCTAGTACATTCAACTGGGCTCGCCCATCCCCGGCCAGTCTTCCCACCACTGGAAGACACGTGTTCCAGGACTGATGTGTCCTATGTGGTTTAGCCTTTTACAGCCAGCTTTCCTAGATTTCCTTAATTTCCTGGAGTATTAACACCATAACCAGGAATATGTATGAAGGAAAAATGCTAAAATTCACCCTGGATTTACTTTCATAATTAAATCCAATCTCTTAAAAAACTCTGTGCAAGATTTTCATTATCTCTTAAATCCTTCAAACTTTCCCTGGTATTAAGACTGCAGGCTGGTCCACTGATGACAAAGCACATGAGTAAAATATCTGCTCCTGCACTACCTTAACTACTACTCACTCTCAATAAATGGTAGGAGCTTAAATACAGACCCAGCTCTATGTACCTGACTGCTGTTATATCTTAATTACTGCTCCTGTGGAATGTTCCATTACCCTAAGGGCAAATCAAATGAACTCATTCCACAGGAGGCAAAGTAGGCCAAGTAAGGCAGGTGTGTCCAGTTTAAATCCAGCAGGAGAAAGCTTCAACCAAGCCTCAACTTGGCACCATCACGAATCTCCGAAAGGTATCTTCAGTGGTGTGGTCCTTCACAACTAACAAATGGAAAATGACAAAAATACTGTGATGAATGTATCCTCATACCACTGCAATCCACAGCCTGAGATGGTGCCATGTCTTGTAGTAACATGTTCCAGTGATATGGTGACTAAAGCAATATAAAGAACCTGGAGAAGAGCAAACAGCGCTGAGCTGTAATTGTACTCCAATGAGATGGACACATAAAAAATAACCACATAAACATACCCAATATTCACTTTGAGAAACAAATGATTAATTTACTAAAAGAACAGGTTCAAACATTCAGAAACTCACAGATACAGTACAGTACCTTAGTTCTGTATCATGCACATATGTGACACCCCAGCAGAGGGCTCTGAGCAGAACCAGCGCAACCCAGCTGGAACGCCTGACTTAGTCAGCTGGCGACACAGCTCCCTGGGGCACCCTGGGCCACTTAGGGACAGGGTTAGAAAACAGAACCCCTGGAATACCTGGCCGGTGACCATGGTCTCTAAACATGAAACACTTTGAAACTTCACAGTAGATATTTATAGTATGCCGGTGTTTTATTAGCTACTTGCTGTGTCAGTTTTGAAGGCTGCGTGTGTGTGGCACTCACATGTGGCAGCACCCATGCATGTGTCACCACCCTGCACGGCCCTGTAGTTAGAGGAGGAAGCAAAAACCTCAACGCAGCCTTCCAGTTCTACTCCACATCTTTTCTTCCACTGCAATCATCTGTGGAAGCAGGGCTAAAGAAGTAGCTGCAGAAGAGGCTGGCTGGCAGTTCTGCAGTGGTATGGCTTAGAAGATCTATACTTGATTTCCATGCTCCTATACAGTCCTAGAAGCCTAACTCTGTCAGTGCACACGGTACTTTCCCTGCTTTCATCTCATCTCCTATCACTAACACTTTCAACTTTCTCTCTCCTTTCCAACCCTTTTCCAACTTTTCTCTTTCCCTTTCTCTCCTCACTTCTTTCTCATCACGCTCTCCCCAGTTCCTGTAATCTCACTCCTCTTTATCCCTCTCCCTCCTCTCTTGCACACTTACTTCAGCTCTCCACCCACCAAGTACTAGGTACTGTGCTGTGCTCCTGACACAAGCTGAGGATCAGAACAATCATGTTACTCCTACAGGCTCCTGTAGTTACTGTATACCACATCAGTCATTTGCTGGATTTTGTGCAGTTGTATGGGTGAGAGCTTCATGGTTTAAAAGTCCCTTCAGATGAAAGGCACTCTCCTGTATTCTCACATTTCCCATTGATTCCAAGTCTTGAAAAGGTCTGCAGACCCATTTAAGTCAGATACACTAATGCTGGAGGCTGAGGTGAACAATGGCAGTAAATCGCATGCAAACACCACAGATTATCTGGAGAAGAACATGTTCCCCCTTAAGCAACGCAGCCCCATCCTGTCGGTTTTGCAATCTCCATGCAGAAGTGTTTCAGCACAACAAAATCAGCTTGTGGACCTCAGGGCCTTTAGTCAACATCTGCAGCTTGTTTAATCGTGAGGAAAAACCAAGGAAAAGAAATATGAAAAGATGTTTTTTACGGTGCAATCTGTTATGTACTCCTCCTGGGGGAGAAGATGAAAGTGAAGAGAGAGGGAAATGAGCTGTGGCTCAGGGCGGTAGGGATGGATAGGATTGACAGCAGTACAGTGTGAAAACCGCAGCCAGGTGAGCCCAAGAGACGGGTAAGGTTATAGGACCCAGAGAGCAACATGGAGACTGCCGTCACCAGTGTGACATGGGTGTTGGGACAAGGGAGGCTATGCTGAAGAAGGAGCTGTCCCTCAGAGGAATCATTAAAGAGACTGCTTGATCTTTAAAGATCCCATTGTACTTTTTGAAAGATTAGAGGTGTCATTCTAATGTCCTTGCTGAATTTCTCTCTGGGATCATTCCACATCTCACCCAGGTGCACTGCAGTGGTGGATAAATCTGACAATATGGAAGGCACTTTATGATAAGAAGTCAGATATAAATGCAACTATTAACTGGAAATATTTTTCTCAGAGTGCACTGTTGTCTTTTCCATTGACTAAATGTTCACGTTTTCTACACAGTGCAACTGGGTTTATGCACGTTTAACCCTTCTTAGCAGCTAATCATAAAACCTGCAACAATTTGAAGAGCACCTGCAGTGCTCATTAGGTGGTTTCTGAAGCAAAAATAAAACCTCCAAAAATAAAATCTCCAATGCCCTCAGGATCCTAGGTTTAAAAATTCACATTCTGGGAGACTGCACACCTCAGGCACATAGCACTCCCTTCAGACAACACTCTGGACCCTGGGAGACCCATCCTAGTGCTCTTGACAACGAAAGCGTCACTTATAAGCCCACTGTTTCCATACAAAATAAAGTCGGCATTTCTTACATCAACTATGCGATTGGGACAGCATGGTTTGCATGATGAAAAGTTGATTAAATTTAAGGTGAAACTTTTTAGTCTGGTTTTCTTTTCCTCCTTTAAGAACAGATGAGGACAGGTCTCACTTTCTTTTCCAGGTGTCTTCATTATCCCTTTGTGTTCTGTACAGAGTCAAGTACCTCTTCACAAAGTGCTGCGCTTGCCACTGCAGGGGGCTGCACTCTCTGACCCTGACCTTTAGACCTAGGGGAGAGAGGAACCCAGCAGCTTCGCTCTTATCTCTGAAGCGTAGCAAGCTGGGACAGATTACAACACCGGGCTCAGCATGACGTGACCCACAGGCTCTGCTCCAGCCCAGGGCCCGAGACACAGGCTGCTCTCTTCCCGGCTGGATGAACCACTTCCTCACGCAGCTGGGTCAATCTACATAGCACAACAGGGTGCCCTTGGGTCTAAGTGAGAGAGAACCAAAGGACAGTGACCTGTTCAAACACAGGGCTGAATCAGCTATGATATGCAGCGGTTCTAAACGAAGGAACTCATTCTGATTTGCAACCGATTCATGTTCACTTTGTTTTTCAGCCCATAAGAGCTACTCTGGCTGGCATCTTCTTGTAACTCTTACTTGTCTCCATGCATATCCCTGTACAGGAACTGACACTTGGTTTATCAACCACCTTCTGGTACAGATTACATAGAGCACTTTTACTGCACTCATTTATTACATGCAAAGGCTTATAAAACACGATATCACACAAGGCAATGTGTCGATTTTATGGTGCTGTGGGAAACCCAGCCAAATTTAACACCTGGCAGTGATCCATTGTTAGTAGAAAAGTGCCAAGAACAATATTGAGATCTTATGTAATAACTGTAAGCAAAACGACACATCTAGCATGGAGAGGCAGGAATCTGAACCTCTGATGACTTCAAGATCTTTGCTACATGTGTTCAGTTCACAATGACTGGACGTTCTCAAAATGGAAGTGACATACTTTGTACCTTTAATTAATTATAACGTGCAGCAATATACTCTCTCCGTTCTGCACGATTCTACCAGATGGAGAAAGAAAACCGCAACAGCTCAGACGCAACGCACTGAGCCTGTCCAGGAGAACACACAGCACCGGCTGCCCAGGCAGGCCAATCAGGAATTCTGACTTGATGCATTCAAGGCCTCGGTATATGCAGAGTGCTGGCATAGCACCATTATTTTGCAGCTTATTACTCCAGGACAATTTATCAAAATAATGTTTATGGTTATAAGTTCAATATATTGAAAGAAGACATTGATGGACTCAATTCCAAGTACAGCTAAGCCCTTGGTTATATTTATTGAATCAGCATGGTATTACATTTACAAAAGCATATTAATCAAATTCTGCATTTTAAAGAGTTTTTAGTTATGCTGAATAAAAAAGATTAATGTTTTTTCAAATACTCACTAATTTTTTTGGGATTTGTTGTAATAAATCTAAAAAATTCTACTGATTTAATTGGCCTGTTTTTTTGCTAAACCCAGCAGACAGTTTGTGGATATTTCTCAAACATAGACGGTCTACCATAGCTTAGTAAGATGTAAGACATATTAAGTCACATACATTATAGATTTGTTAAAGAAGAGCTATATCATATCAAGTGGTATTGTCCCTTATTTTCAGGAGCTGTACTGAAGATATATAACGTGTCTTTGATATGAAATATATATCATGTCTTTAACACCAAGAGGTTTCCAATTTGTATTCATGCAACACTGACCTAGGGTGGGAAGGCAAGGGGCCCTGGTCTTTCTCCCAGGTGATGAGGGGTGGTGGTAGTCCATCCACATGGCACTCGAACCGCACAGCACCACCCACGGGCACCAGCTGAGGCTCTGGGTGCTGCAGGAACCGGGATAGACCTGGGAAGAGGAGACTCTGTGAGAAACGAGGCATCAACCTATGCAAAACACAATCATACACAAGTCCAATCAAGCCTCAGCTTAGTGTGGTGAAACATAGTGGTCACTGTTTCCCCTAGAGGTTGACATACGACTAAGGATGTCCCTAATCGCTGACTGGTTGGAGCGCACTGTTCGTGTAGGCCCTCCCGGCTGAAGCAGCTGTGCCATGGCTGGTCCACAATGCTCCTTCTCCGCTTCACTGAGCCTTGCACTGCATCCTAGCACAGACTCAGTACCCTCTCCAGACACCATAGTGCTTTCTGAGCTGTACTTACTGTGGCACAACCAGTGTACATTGGCCCTTCTTTCACCACATTCTTACAGCCTGTTCCTTTTAGCTCCCTTAAAACCAGACCTCTGTCCTCATTCCTAAATCATCACTGAAGCCCTCTCCATCGCTGAACTGAAATTAGGGACTGTAGTTGAAAACTAGTGTGCCACTTTAAGTCTGTGACAAACCCTTTGGGGATTTTAGAAATAGGGTCTTTTTCAGGCCTGTCCAGAATATGAATTCCCAAGTGGTGCACATGTGCTGTAATCTTTTTACTTTTTAAATCAGTGTTTCCGCTGGTCATTGGCTTGCTCCTGTGAAGGCAATTCACCAATGACGTTCTAGCGCACTGAGGTTCTACAGCACCAGTGAGACAGGCTGCAGAGTGCCAGCGCACACCATGACAGCGTGCTAACCCGTGTCTTCTCCTTACCACTCTCCACTGTTTTCACTTCATTGTCATGAAGTCTCAGTTTCAAAAGTGGGAAAAGGAAGCACTTCCTGACCCAAAGGGTTGTGGCAGCACGAACGAGCTAGCCAGTCATTTCTTGAGGCTGATATCCTAACTTCTTTCAAGGAATGGCTGGGTGAAATCGTATCCTAATTAACATCCAAGAAGGCCTGATGGGCTGAATGTCTTCTTCTCGTTTGTAAACTCGTGCTGTGCTCAGATCTTTGTACCCAACAAGACTGCATATGAGCTAAAGAAGATGACAGGACTATTGCCAGTTTAACCATATGCCTGCTTTAACATCTTAGAATCCTCTCCCTGAGGGGCAAGGCATGGGAAAAAAAGCCTTTATATTTTATAAGAGATTACCGTACTCAGTACAAGTGTGCAACTGTCAGGATTAAATTTGAATATATTCCTTTGTGTGCCGGGTTATGTGCTATTCCATACAGGTGCATGTACTGTAGCTCTGTGAAGTGCTTCATGAGAAATGTCAATAAACCATATCCTCATATTGCCAGTGAAGTTCCAAATTGCACTTGAAAAGCACATTTCACTGTAAAAGTCTGAAAAATGGTTCCATAAGAACAGTACTCCATTCATGAGCTGGAGAATCTATTCAACAATACTTTGAATCTGTTACAGGTCATAAGTTAAAACAGACTGTTTCTGATCTGATAGAAAACAGCCCACAGGAGATTAGGGTTGTTGTGGAGCAGTTTAACCTTGCCCATGTGGATATGTTACTTATAATGTGGTTTGGTCTATTTTTCAATAATTGCTTTGTGTACTGTATGTCTTTGACCACACACATACAGAGGGCAACAGCCATGAAGTCTTAATTTATAAAATCATCCATGATGAAAAATAAGAGTTAAGGAAGAAAGAAATCCAGTAGATCCAGTAGCTCTCCAGGCCCAGGAGGGAGCCGCATAGTTTCTGCTGCTGATAACCTACTAAGAGACAGGCGGACGTTACATCTTTTCATTGATTTGTTGTGGTAGGGTGGTGAAAAGCAATTTTTTTAAGAATAAGAACCAGTGGATGTTAAATGTGAGTCATTCTCACCATAAACACCACTTAACTATCATTGGACTCTACCTCCTTAAAATCACCTTGTCCTGCCAATGCTACTGAACAGGCTCCTTCACAAAGAGTTCCACTTATACCAGAGGCTTATTGTGCACAGAAGGGCTCGACCTTCCATGCAGCCTCTTACAGCCAGTAGCTCAAACAGTCTCCTTGATCAGATGACTGCAGAGTCAAAAAGATGTGCAGTCTCTATGTTAACCAGACACTCAATGAGTTGGTTCCTCAGTCTTCTGCTCACAACTCGCCTAACCAACCGTGTAAAAATGATTCAGAAGTTGCTGTCTTGATGTCTACTCTGACCCCTCTTGTTAAAGCAAGGTCCATATTATTAAAAAAATGTCAAGACAGATATACTTCAGGAAAACAGTTACACAACATTTCATCATGTACAAATGCCAGCAAACGGCTTATTTAGTTAACAATATATGCCAGCCAATCAAACAGTATCAGCACCTAACCCGACACGAAAGACGCTGAAAAGGTGGGAAGTAGCCTGTGAGTCTTATCTGGGTTGGACAATTTACATTGATGTTCAAAATATTAGGAACCCACATTAAATAGTACTTCTGTAAACAGTAAGAACAATCTGAACTGCGCTTGATCTGAATTCCACCCTGATCTGAATTTCTGCTGCCCAGCCCTAACCTACTGTATACTTCTAGTAAGACCACTTTCAGTGGAGGCTGTGATGAGGGTAATGGAGTGGGGGATTTCACTACATGTTCCACTGGTTCCACCTGTTTCTATCGCACTGAGATCAGAATAATCCGGCCAGGAAAGGTAATGTGAATGAGTTTCCCTGCCACTTGGAGAGTCTATTCATTTTATTCAAGGATTCCTAATATTTTGGCCACTGCCCCTTTCAGCTTTAACTCAACTCATTTTCTGAACTCTATCCAATTGACTAAACCTAAAAAAGTAAAAATTCCAAGCCAGCTTCAGGTTTCTAATCCAGCACAGTGGAACCATCAGCGACGCCTCTGCTCAGCTGTGAAAGACAGACCCTTGAATTCATGTTTTCATTTTGTTTATTTAAATCATCTTATCTGAATTTAATGGCTCGTTTCTGGCATCCGTGTGCTTATACAGAATCAATAAAACTGATTTATTGCTACTCAATTAAAATAAAAATCCCTGAGGGACTGTTTCTAATCCTGCAAGGGCTGCTGTATCAAGTGGCAACGCAAGCCTGAAATGAACATTACCATGTGGAAGGGCAGAAGAGGCGTACACTGAGGCATGTACTGTAGCAGGGAGCTGCCCTGAGGCGGGCAGAGACTCCAGCTTGTCAAAATTTAACAGGGATAAGCTGGCAAGACACACCTAGATAAAATGTCAATTCTGTAACTGTTACCTGATACATCTCTCCCCTCTCTCCTCTCCTCCAGCTCTTCTCTTACCAGATTACAGCACCAGCTTTGATCCACAGAGCCTAACCCTCTCCCCACCCCACGCACCCTGAACCCCCCTTGATCGCCCGCCACCAACTGGCCTCCTGCCACCCTGCCTCGTACCTTCACATGAGCACATGCGGTGCGCCCAGTGTCAGGCATTCCTGTTCCAAAAAATTAAAGATACATTTTTCCAATTGAATTCTTCTTTCAAATAATGAAAAACGCTCAATGTCAATCGCAGCTGTAGCTCTGCCTTCAGATACTGCTAATTACTTGGGAAGCTGCAGATGGTGGTGTGTGAATTGTTAAGATCTAAAGCAAATAACCCAAACTGAAAATATAAATATGACACATTACTGGTTGGTTGTTTGTGTAAAAGATATGCAAGGAAGTTTCATCTCATCATATAATGCAATATAAATGTTTATATGCGGAATAATAGAAAGCAAAATATTAAATTCTGATTATGCATTATTTTGTGAGATCTTTACGTTATCCATCAGCAGGACAAAAAAAACACGTGCCATATAGTGCAGAAATTCTGAATAACTATGTAGTACATTGTCAGAAACAGGCTGTTACCAAGCAAGCACTGAGCACTGATTTTTGAAAGTTTAGAAAGTCCTTTCTAAAAATATTTTTCTTAATATAACAATGGTTATAGAAACATAATGAATAATGAAAGCATTGCCTTAAAGCATTCAAAGTTACACACTGGGTCAACAATCCAGTTCATCTTCTGTTTGACACAAACTCGCCTTCCTGCTTTCTGAAACACAAACACACCAAGTGTGTTGACTCTTACACAAGTGTCATGGAATCATTTACTGATCAAGGAGTCAGGACTTTGGTTTAATGGCTTATCTCTTCAGATGAAGCATTATGGTGACATTCCACACCTCCAAATCTTTTAAGCTTTTAAATACATCCATTAAGTTTTTGAACTCAAAAGTTTGACATAATTTATAACCCTAACCCTACCTCAACTCTCCTCATTACCTTTCATGTCATTCTTGTCCCTCCTAACCTCCACTGGCTCTGCAGATTAACTCTCTCACTCTTCATTTAGGTGGACCACATTAAAAATACAAGTTTGTTTGATCTTGCTTAGCTGTCACCTAAATTGCCTTTCATGCATAATCCAGAAAAAATAAACTTAACAAAACCATAAAGTTAATCAATAAAACATCAAGCATGGAAAGGCAATAGAAAGAGATAGAGAAAATAATATAGTAAAATAGAGAAAGACATGGCACCATCATTTTAGGAATTCTGGGATTGTGATTTCATTCATTGAAAGCAATTTCAGGGCTTCTGACTGATATGATTCTCCTTCCTTTTTAAAAGTCTTTATAATTCTCCTCCCACACATTTATTCAGGCTTGCAGTACACCTGCAGCCACACTCCTTCACTGCAGAGAAACAATCACAGCAATCACCACCCAGCTAAGGACACGGGACATGGTCTTGCTAGGTAAAGCATTCAGACAAGTGTGACAATGCCAGGTCAGAAGTATTACTCTGTCCTTTCATCTTAATTGCTTGCTGCCACAATAGACTGTTTTTTTTAAGTCAGCTACATGGCAGGGTCGTGCCTATGCGACTGAAGTACAGCTCTGGAGACAATGTTATTCTGCAATTCCAGCAGCCAGTGCAGTGCGTCACTTAGTAGTTGAACAACACCAATGAGCTGTAGCCCAGACAGGGCCTTCTGAATAAAAAAGGGCAATGTGAAATAGCACTGATCCTGGAGTAAAGGATAGGTCCAACAGCCTAGGGACAGATGATTCTTCCAGCTCAGTAAGATGGACTGATACTTAACAGATGTTTCTCTTTTTAAAAAAGGTAATTAAATGCTCATTTTAAATTGCTGAATTCAATCATACAAGCAAGCAACTGGACTACAGAGCACAGGTCCCGAAACTTCTGAAGTCTCATAAATCTCGTCACTAGAGTTCAAAGGCACTTCCCTGCAGACACCATGCATGTTAGATGTTAAAAGGGGCCGGAATTCAGGTGATGCAGGTGTGCACAGGTCAAGGGTTAAGGGGCTATCTAACTTTGGAAAGGAAACCCTCACTGTTATTTCCTGTATTGTGCTTAGGCTGGCTTTATGTCATCAAAACAAATGCCATCTACTGCAGAACGGACACTGGCTCTCAAATACTGAGAAAAGGAAAGTGAATAGCTTTTCCGATTTGGTTTTGTAATGTGTGTTCAAACACTGAGAGGCCTCTGGGGAATGCATTATATTAGAATGGCAAAATAGTTTGCAGACATGCAGATGTAATGGTGGTGATGCACATGTCACTGCACTTGTATCGGTGAGAACACACAGCCAGGGAAACTTGTACTAATGCCACAGCACTTACAAGCTCATAAGGGGATGCTCAGTGTCAGGCCTACAGTCATAATACAGTATATATCCAGATGGTGTAAACATTTGCAGCACATACATCTTTTAATCAATGTAGAAAATTAGTCTCTTAACTGCTGAACTGCATGCATGACCATACTAACTTAGTCTTTTTGATCAACAAATGCAATCTGGACCCCAGATCCCTCAGTGGTCAGCACAGTGTGCATGTGTGTACCAATGCTCCCATTTTAAGGACGTCACTCTGTTGGAACTAGTGAGGCCACTGCACCCAAGAAGATTAAGAGCCAATGCATTTGAGCAAGTTAAACATTTGCAGCCTTTGAAGGGCATGTTAATAGTAATGCAAATCTGCCCTGTCTGCTATTTCTCAGCACTGCCTGGCCCCTGCTGAGAATAGAGCAGTCTCATAAAAATAATAAGCGTGTGACAGTTGCACAATGGGGAGAGAATCCATGCCTGGGTCGCACATCCTTCACAAAGCCAATAAAACCCCAGGTTTTGTAAAGGAAAAGAGGGCAACCTAATCTCCGGATTGTGCTGCAGTCGCCTGGCTGACTCTACCTGGGCCACGGAGAGCACAATCAGCCCTTTCAGGTAATTAATGAAAGCAGAGCCTGCTGCAGTGAAGAAGCCAGTCTATTGAATTAGCCTTTGCAGCAGGGGCCTCCACCGACACAATGGCAAAATAACAGCTCACAGGGTCTGCAGAAAGAGCATCAGTATGTCTCTGCTGGGTCTCCGAAACAGCAGCCCCACTGCCTGCAGGATTAACTGCATTCTGCACTTCAGGGGAGCCACTTATAGTCTTGTTAATATTATTCATTTTTCTTATTAAATGCTGGAACTCAGAGAATTTGACTTTAAGTGCACTATAAAAAACTGCTCCATCTTTCAGCATGCTGTTAAATCAAGCAGCATGCCAATTTGTGCAACATGAGCGAATGAAGCAAATCACACACTCATCATGAGAAAATCTGCTCAGTGACCCAACCAAAACCCTAAAAAAATTGATACTAACACCGTATATTATATAACACCGTATTTATGACATTACAAAAATTAACGATGCATAATATACAACCACTCATTATGAACATCCCCATTTATGTAATACAAAGACTACAGGTTATTTTGCCTTTTTTTTTTATTCCAGATCATAATTTGCTCACCATTTCCTGAAAGCAACTAAAAAAACCTGAAAGGGCTAAGTCCAGGAACAGAAAAGACAGGTTGAAAAGAATTAGCAGGAGCATTATCAGCATGACTTGGAAATGGACAAAAATGGTTCGAAAGGCATCCTGTCAGCAGTAAGAAAAAACCCCACGGAGCGACATGGCCGTGGTGCTGCGGAGGGCCGGACTTACCGGAGAGCTGCACCAGGACGGTGCGGCTGCTGAGGGCTCCGAAAGCGTTGGCGGACACACAGGTGTACCCCCCCTCCAAGCTGCGCTCCTGGGCCCGCCCCTCCTGCAATGCAGGCAAGATGGCCAGAGACCCATTGGGCAGAACCCGCAGACCCTCACTGTCCACCACTGGCACTCCGTCCCTCCCCCAGGACACGTTGACAGGCTGGTCCACCGCCGCCAGGTTGCAGTCCAGCACCAGGGAATGGGTCGGCTCCAGAACAACCTGAACCGGGCCAGCACTGCAGCTCAGCTCCACAGAGTGCGACTTATCTGCTGAGACGGAGAGTGAGGGAGCAGAGAGAGGGAGAAAGAGAGAGCATTAGGCCCCGACAGCAGGGGTTGGATATCTGTACTTCATTACCTTGATTCGAGCAAAATTACATAGGCAAATCAAATTAATATAACAATAAATATGTGAGGAAATTAAATATTGAATTGCTTTTCTACTTCATGAGCACAATGTTCTTAGGAAAAATGCGATTCCCTTGCTTTGGGGTCTATTCTAGTTGACAGTGGGAATTACATGACAAATGTCCATATTAAGGCTGTGTTGGCTGCAGTTTAATTTCAGGTTCAGAGACGAGGTCTGCAATATGCTCTCAATCTAGTGTAACCAAGAGACAGTGTGTTTGGAATAGCATCCTTATGATGGCTGGCAATTAGTTCCCCCCGTGACCAGCTGCAGTACTCATATCCTGTGCCATCCTGAGGACAATTTTACACTAGCAAAAGAGAAAAGGCAGCCAGGCTCTGTTTTAGATATACTGTAGGTAGAAGTAGGATGTAGCTAATGATGGATCTATATGATTATGGAGTGCAGTTATTTAGTGAGCATGTTAAGCACTGCAGTACTTGCTTGAAATGATGATGTAATACAGTTCTCAGCAGGGTGCTGTGTGGGTGCGGGCCAGTGCCATATAAACACACACACGCCCACTAACACAGACAGCAGCTAAGCCTCCTGTACTCTCACAGCATCTCTCACTCACAGTGGATCAGCTCCAGATTAAATTTGACGCTGATCCAAAGAAAAAGACTTCCGGCTTCTCCTGGCAAGGAGTGTATCAACACTCTACTCAAAGCACATGGCTCTCTGCCATACCCCTGCTCACACAGCAACTGTGCACACCCTGACAGCCCTGTGAAGAGCAGGCATGTAAAGAGAGGATCAGGGAGCAGAGGGACAGTGGTCCACAGGGAGACAAACAGATGCAGGATTGGATGGAGACAGAAAAAAGGGGACAAGATTAAGTCTGTGTTCCGACTAAAATCTATACTACTGTACCTAGGGCACAAAAAACACACTATCAATGAGCCACTTTCTTCACTACCCTTGTGTAGAAGAGTCAGGACTGACCCCTAGTAAATACACCTATTGGCAATTATTAAATTCTTGGACAGTCTCAATGTGAGACAATCAACAATTCACTTAAATAACATGGTTTTCAAAGAAACACAAATGGAACTGACAATTTGTTATATTGGCAATCAATTTGAAATTGCCATTTTGTAAGTATCAGTAAAAGGACACGGGTTGTACACGTGCTCTCCTGGCATTCCCAGCTGTCAGACCTATTCATCTTTTGACAAACTGCAAGCTCTGTAGTACTTTACAGGGAAGCTGGCTCCTGTTGGAGAAGATGTGCGTTTTTCACTTGGCATCACTGAAAGCTTGCAGCCACCTAACAAATCACTGGAGTCATGATTTTGTGAAAAGCATGATAAGATCATGACCAACAAATGCTCACACTATCCCAGCTGCACAGTGCTAATTGTGTGCCTTTGCTTGAGGAATTCTGCACAGAATCAGCCCGGTACATGACCCAGGCTGAATCAGCAGCGTCTGGGCCAAACGGGTCAACTTGCACTCTAAACAAGTGTCTTTATTGGTGGAGCCACTGGGGAATGAGAACACAGCCTTAGAAAAAAATAAGCTGAAGAGTTATCCCATTAAAGCAATTCCTGAGAATGCAGGGAAATAAATCAAACTCCCTTAACTTAGAAGTCTGAGCTCATTCACTATTCGCAGCTGGCAGGGACCGAAACAGCGATCAAGACGTCTAATCCAGGGATACAAATGGGACTCCCAGCTGACAGTGGTTTGAGCCATGCCAGGTGTCACTAGCCACCATTGTATAATAGCCAACACCAGGTGCTGGATATTCAGAGCTTGTTACCTCCATTAGAGTGAGCTCACATGGAAAGAGAAGCTGTGTTACAATCAAATGAAATAAATTGCTTTCCTCCTTCCATATAAAATTAAACAGCTTGCAATGGAACATCTTAATATCTTTCCCTTGAAGTCTAGAGTTCAGTGTCAAAGTGCAAACGTCCACTGACATTGGTGAGAAATCAGAGGGCAGACAAATGGGGCAGTTCTACCCAAAGACTCTGACCTGACAGTTTGCTCCCTGCTCACAGTGCTGCTGATGAATCAGCCTGCTGATGCTCATTAACAACAGTAAATTAAGTGAAAGAGTTAGCCTACTTTCCTTCCTTTCATCTGTTAATAACTGGGAGAGGGCTACATGATAGAAGCTCATTCACCCCTTTTCACCTCCAGGAAGCTCATTCTTTTTCCTTTCCATTTAAGCTCTAATTAGATAATTAAACCATTTGCATCTATTTTTAAACACATCACTGCTTGTTCACATCTCTGTACCGTTTATGGAATCTCTGAGAGGGTTTTAATATGTGGGACCGGTTGACACAAACTGGTTGCCCACACAACCCTTGACTAGCCCACTTTCAAGAGGCACACAAAGTCTTACAGGTTCTAAAATAGAATACAAAAATGCTCCAAAAGAACAAAAAGGTTGGAAAAGTAGCTTTATTACAAGACTACAAAAATAAAAATCAATTATTAAACAAAACAGAATTATTCATCATTGACATTACTATTTTCCATTAGCAAAACAGGCATTCATTATTCATAGTGTTCTAGTTAATAAGAAAGTAGGATGTTGGTCTCTATCACCTAGTAGCTGTAGGACTTTCTTCAGCACTCTGGAGTGAGAAAGGTTCAAGTCCTAATCCCCCAGATCCTGTTCTTGAAATTCATATCCTGTGGGTCATAGGGTTAACCATTTTTTATTCCACTCACTCTTATTTAGTTAATTGAGATAATTATTTAATTCCCATAGTCTCAGGACTAATGCGAGTTATTCAGTTTAATTCAAGCTATTTTGCTGACTTGCTGAGAACCCCAGGGTTAAGGTATTGAGTACAGTCCTGTTATTTTCTGTCTCAGTTGGCTGTTAGTGCCAAATTTTCCACTCAGTTTCATCAAATATTGAAGGGGTGTTTGTGTGGGATTACAGAACGGGTAATCATTGGTGCTCAAAGAAAAGCTGGGAAGGGATCCTCGCATAGTGCTCACATAGTGTGCTCATCTGGAAGACTGAGACTGGACCGGCACTGACAGCCATGAGCTCGCACTCCGCCAGGGAGTAAGACACCGCGGTTACAGCACATATGAAAAAAGCACAGACCAAAGAAAGTCCTCTGAAGTACTCAAAGCATGAAGTGGCATTTAAAATTGATAGTCAATGAAAATGAGGAGTACACTCTCGTGAATACTTGGCAGGCTCCTGGCTCTTTGTGTATTCAAATTGAGTGGCGCTGAATGGATGCAATGGCAGGCCGCCAGCGAACCGTCTGCGCGGCTTGCCCTTCAGTAGGGTGACTGTGTCTTCTTTCTAAAGCTCCTGTCCGCAGCCTGGTCTTCAAACCTCACTCCCACACCAACTCTCCTTATATCTGCGAGTAACAGGGCACTCTGCAGGAGCCCCACAGTAGCTTTTCACAGAAGACAGGGATGCGGTGATGCCGATAATTCATCTGCCCTGTAGTGGATTGGGCCTGAGAATCCAGACTCGGCAGTCACACGGAAACGTACCAGCAGTCATGGCCCTAACGGAACCATTCACAGTCCGAAGCACTTCAAGAACGCCTGCAGCCCACGCCAATGGAGGACAGCAACGGGCTGCCTTTTAGATGAGCTCTGTAATTCAGCAAAGCTTCCAAAAGACCAAATTGTTTAGAATTTGAACTTTCTGTACTACTAATAATAAACGTTTAATAACAATGTCTTAAACTAAAACTGAAAATAAATGTGGTGCATTTAGAGAATAGCGTCTACAGAATAACTGACAGTACAGAGATATACAGTGCACAGCTTCTGTATTGAGGGTTGTTGCATTACATACTGTAAATGCCTTTGTCTCAGGCAGGAACAAGCAATATTGCAGCACAGGTAAATTAAACATTCCTCCCAGGCAGGAATACTGCAAACTGAACCCCCCTGGCAAAGATTAGGCCAGTCAGGCTCCATGCAGATCAGGTGTCTCTCTCTCCCAGATTTTAATGTTTAACCTCTTTGCCAGATTACTGAATCTCAGCAGCTGATGCAGATAACAGAATGGAGTACTGGCTGGCGTGTGGCTCATGAGTGAGCAGGATCCCGGCAATAAGTCTCAGCAACGTGGGGGTGTGACAGGCAGCATGAGAAATGAGCCCAAGACGGAGAGGATGGGTGTGGGGAGTGGGTGGGGGGGCAAACAGACTGATTGATAGCTATGCGCAACACTCATGTTTGGAATGGTGTGCAACTACAGCTGCGTCCCTGACTGAACTATTACAGCTCGTTCACAAGCCACGCCAAAGCACTCAGGAGCTTCAAACTCCTGTCAAAATCGCAGCTTTTAGGAAAACCTGACAAAAAAAGGCATACAAAACACAATCTGTCTGCAGGTTCAGGAAAGCTGCTTGCTATTCAGCTACTTTTCATCTGTCACTTGTTCTAACAAGATAGCTCACAGGAACGCGGAGAGATGAGCTGGCGGAGCACGTACCAAGGAGGGAGGCAGGAGGGGAACGACATTGGACAGCATCAGCACATTCCCTATAGAAGATATCACTGGGATTTCTATTTTGGAGAAATCGAGACATCCTGAGTAAGGATCGTGATAACGCTGATGCACAGTGTGCTCATTAAAATTAAAAATAAATCAATACAAAAAAAATTGAACGTATATACTGCAAATGGTGCATTAGAGCGGAGGCCATTTCTTTACCGCTTGCATTAACTTTATTATCCTAATCTTAATGTGGCCTTCTGGTACAGCACTTAAAAAACTATAGATCTTAAAAAGTCAGGACTGTGTCAAAGTCAAAACTACTTCTTTGAAAAGGTACTCCTTTGGCAAAGGAATAAATTAATAAGTGATGCCAAAGCAAGGTGTCTATCTTCATCCATGTGACTAAGGAAAGAA